GCCGACCCGCAGCCTCGGCCCATGCGCAGCCCGGGCCCCTTGGAGCCTGGCGCCCAGAGGAAGGCGGGGAGTCCCCGCGTCTGGGAGGGCTTCAGCGAGTGGCCAGCGGCGGTGGCAGTCGGGATAGGGGCAGCGCTCCACGTGCGTCTCTGGGGGAGACTTGTGGCCAGAGCAGGCTGCCCTTAGGTGCGCGTGGCTGCCGGCCTCAGGGGCTCGGTGCAGACTGGGCATCCGGAGCCCCTTTTTCTGCTGGCTACCTCCTTTGCAGGCTGCAGGCTGGAGCGCGCACGGTGGTGCGGCCGGCCCAGCCCTCTTTTGCCTGTCACTCAGCGTGCGTGTCCAGCGCCTCAGCTCACAGGCTGGGTGTGCAGAAGTTCGAGGCAGCCAGGGCCGGTGGCTCCAGGCTCGGAAGGGGCTTGGCCCCTCCAGCCCCTGGGCGGGAAACACCCCTGAGGCCCCTCCGTGTTGGCAGCATCAGCCTCACAGCCTGAGGGCACCTCCTGTCAACGGCCAGTCCCTCCTGAGGGCACTGCAGGGAGTCGGGCGGTCTGGGGGCAGAAGCCAGGCCCCTGCGCGCTGCCCACTGCCATGCCCCCGCCAACAGGAGAACATCATGAAGTCCAACATCGACAAGAAGTTCTCCGCGCACTACGATGCAGTGGAGGCGGAGCTCAAGTCCAGCACCGTGGGTGAGCAGACCCGCCTGCCGCCCTCCCCCGGCCTGGAGGTCTGTGCTGTGCTGCCTGGGGACTGACATGTCCAGCGCATCTCACCGTGCAGGTCTCGTGACCCTGAATGACATGAAGGCCAAGCAGGAGGCGCTGGTGAAGGAGCGGGAGAAGCAGCTGGCCAAGAGGGAGCAGTCGAAGGAACTGCAGCTGTGAGCCCCCGCCGAAGCCCCCCCTCCCCCCCCCCGCCCCGCACTGTGCCGGCTGCTCCCCTGTGACGCCAGCAAGCCTCATCTGCGCCCCGCCCTGCCCCGGGCACTGGCAGCAGCCCCCACCCGGCCATCCCTCTCTGACCCCTCATGTCCTTCTTGGCCTGTGCAGTCACCGCAGCCCAGGCCTGCGGGCAGCTTTGGGTGCTGCTCCCTAACCCCTCTTCTGTCTTGGCAGGAAACTAGAGAAATTGCGAGAGAAAGAGCGCAAAAAAGAGGCCAAGCGGAAGATTTCCAGCCTGTCCTTCACCCTGGAGGAAGAGGAGGAGGCAGGCGAGGAGGAGGAGGAGGCCGTGGAAGAGGAGGAGCTGGAGAGGGAAGGTGAGGACAGACTCAGAGTTCAGTCCACAAGGCTCTGCCCCTGCCCTGTGGCCCCTGCCCTGTGTCCCCTGCCCACCCTCCTGCAGGTCCAGGGGCTCAGGCCCTCGGGCCAGCGGCTGCCACGGCCAGACTGGGGCTGACCCAGAAGAGCCCAGGAGCTGGGCGGGGAGGGGGGGAGGACAGACTGGAGCTGGCGGGACTTCCTGTGACGATGGAAGCACCTGTGTGGGCGCCAGCGGCCGGGTTGCATGGCGCCTGGGGCAGGGTGGTCAGCTGGCGGGCAAGCAAGCAGAAGCAAGCACCACCCTCTTTCTGGAGTCCCCCAGGAGCTCAGGGAAGCACCCCAGATGCACGTGGGTGGGTCCCCGAGGAAGGGAGGGTTTTGCCAGCAACAGGGCGGGGGCAGATGCACCCTGAGGCAGGGGCTTGGTTGGAGGACCGGGCCACGCTGGCTGGGGCAGCTTTGGCAGCGCCACCGCGGCAGGAGCCTGGGAGCGCGCGCCGTGTGTCGGTGTGCCAGGGCTGCCATCTCGGACACGCGGGTCCAGAGGGAGGCCTGGTGGGTGCCTGTGTGCCCTGGAAGGGTTGTTGTAGGGCTGGGTCTTGCGACCCCGGCTTGGCAGTTCAGTGGGTCTCTGGCGCAGTCTGGCTCAGGGAGCCCCACCCTGGGGCCACAAGGGTCACTTGAGGCCAGTCTGCTGGGCTCACGCTTCCCAAAAGAGCAGTTCAGGGGTGGAGGGCTCAGGCAGCTGAACTTCTAGGGGGCCTGCACATCCTAACCCTACCGAGGCGATCTCTGCCACTGGCACACTCGTTCTCTCTTGAATTGACAACGGCGTCTTCCACAGACAACGCACCAGCGAAGGCGTGGTTTCAGTAGCTGACGCGGCACGAGCTGGCTCTTGTCTCTAATTCGATGACTGTCTGGCCAAACACCCCTCAGATAGTGGCTGTGCAGAGCCCCTCGTCACTCGTTCATCCATGTCCCGTTTGAGGAAGCTGGGTCTTGGCACCGACCAGGCTAGCCGGCCTGGCCTGCGCTTGTCCTTGCTGCTGGCTCCCGTGCTGGTAGCTGTGGGACTTGGGGCTTCAGTCCCTCACCCCGGAGAGAGGCAGGTCCTGCCCTCCGGCTGTCGTGAACATAGGCTGGGTGCCGGTTCTGTGACCAGGCCGAGCCCCAAGCCTGAGGACACGCTTTGGGCCCCTATGCTTGGGCCCGGGGCCTTGATGTGCTTCTGGCTGCTGGAGCTGGAACGCTGTCTCCTGTCTCTGTGCAAGTGCTGACAGTGGACACCGAGGCAGCAGTGTCTCTTGGGTTTCTGTGGGTGCCGTGAGGAGCCAGGATGGTCCAGGAAGCCTCCGAGGAGGTGGGTTTGGACTGAGAACTGAGCAGCAGAGGGCGGACTACACTGCTGCTGACCACTGCTTGCTTCCACCGCAGAGGTCACCACAAAGAAGAGGAAATTGGGGAAGAACCCAGATGTGGACACCAGCTTCCTGCCTGACCGAGACCGCGAGGTAAATGAGACTCTGACCTTGACCCAGCCCTGCCAAGGCTGTTGCTCAGCACCTGGCGTCCTGGTGCCCCCCGCGCGAGCCCTGGCGTCCCCCCTTGTCCTCTCCCAGGAAGAAGAGAACCGGCTCCGGGAGGAGCTGCGGCAGGAGTGGGAGGCCAAACAGGAAAAGATCAAGAGTGAGCATGCGGAGGGGCCGCTGGCGCTGGGGCCAGGCCTTGGGGACGGGGCAGTGCTCCAAGCCCGGGGGGCTGGCGGCGTGGCGGTCCTCTCGAGCTGGAAGCCCTGAGGCGGCTCTTCTCCGCAGGCGAGGAGATCGAGATCACCTTCAGCTACTGGGACGGCTCGGGCCACCGGCGGACCGTCAAGGTAGGCGGGCAGGGCGGGCCTGGGCCTCTGCTCCGCCCCGGGCGCGTGCCCTGGGATTCTGTGGGCAGGAGCTTGCGGGCTGCCCTTGGGACATCCACGGGGAGACCCCGAAGGTGGTGCACCTCAGTCCCCTCCCAGTTTCCATGTTGGGGTGTCCATTCACAGATGAAGAAGGGCAACACGATGCAGCAGTTCCTGCAGAAGGCGCTCGAGATCCTGCGCAAGGACTTCAGTGAGCTCAGGTAGCGCCGAGCCCCCGGGTGAGCGCAGCGCTTGCTGGGTGCTAGCTCCTGGGGGCTCCTTCCTGCCCCTGCCTGCTCTGCGCTCTTCTGCCCTGAGGAGGCATTGGGGCTTGGGCCCCAAGCGCCCCCAACATCATGAACTGCCACCTGCAGTCCCAGGGCCGGTGTGCAGCCGGCAGCCCCGGCAGCCCCGCAGCCCCCGCCTTCTCTGCAGGTCAGCGGGGGTGGAGCAGCTCATGTACATCAAGGAGGACCTGATCATCCCCCACGTGAGTGCTGGCATGGGCAGAGCGGGAGCCCGGGCCTGGGCTGGGGGCGGCCGCCCGTGGACAGGCAGTGGGGGGCCAAGATGGCCCCTCAGCTGCCTTCGCTTCCTCTGCTGCCAGCACCACAGCTTCTACGACTTCATCGTCACCAAGGCCCGAGGGAAGAGTGGTGAGTGAGCCTGGCACTGCCCCCAGCCCGCCCCACAGGCAGGCCGTGCACCGTGCCAGGTGGGACGCCGCTCTCCCCCGCAGGGCCGCTCTTTAACTTTGACGTCCACGACGACGTGCGGCTACTGAGCGACGCCACCGTGGAGAAGGACGAGGTAGGGCCAGGCCGGGCTGGCCCGGGCCGGGGGCGAGGAGGGGCAAGACCTGAGCGGCGCCCCTGCCCTCCTGCACCCTCCGCAGTCGCACGCGGGCAAGGTGGTGCTGCGGAGCTGGTACGAGAAGAATAAGCACATCTTCCCCGCCAGCCGCTGGGAGCCCTACGACCCGGAGAAGAAGTGGGACAAGTACACGGTGAGGAGGCGGCCTTGGGGTGGCGGCAGCGGCCGGGCTCTGCGGGGGGCCTGCTCAGCCCAGCGGTTCTCTGCCCTCGGCCTCGCCCAGATCCGGTGAGCAGGTGGCGCTCGGCCCGGCTCTCCAGCCCCCTCGTGTCTCCGAACTGTGGGTGCCAGGCTCCTGTGATGTGCCAGCCGAGGAGGAGAGCAGGACTGATCCCCACCCTTGGCGCTGCTGTTCTCAGCACTCGTCTCATGATAAAAAAGGTCTCCGTTGGAGCTAGAGCGACTGTGTGGCTTCGTTTTTTCTAAAAATGCAACACTTTTCTGTTAGATAAAATTCATAGAAAGTAAAATGCGCCGTTTCGACCATTTCAAAGTCCAGAACCCAGGCAGTTCGTATATTCACAGGTGTGTGATCACAAGCTGTAGTTCCAGAACATTCCATCACCCCCAAAGGAAGCCCGCCCCATGAGCAGTCTCCTTTCTCTCCCTCCAGCCCTATGCACCCGACTTCTGTGACTGCACTCGCCTATTCTGAATCAGTGTTTCTGATCTTGTGTCTGCCAGGGCTGGGAGCTTGGAGGGGTACTGGGCAAAACCAGGAGTCTCTGCAGGCAGGGGGCATTGCAACCCACTCAGCCACGGGCAGGGCCAGCCGTCCCTGCAGCCGGCCGGCCTCCACTGGCGCCCACACTCATTGCGATTCTTCACCGTGGGTGCCCGTCCTACGGGATGGGGGCGTCCCTTCCCTGCCTCCCTCCCATGTACTTAGGCTCCTCTCTTGTTTCCCGGATGCTCCAGGGTTCTGCGTTCTGAACACGGCTTCGCAAACCTGCCCTAGACCTTGCTCTGGGCCCTTCTTGACACATACTCCCAGTGCCTGCGGTCCCGGTGGGCCATCCTCCTTGGCCCGCCACTCACTGTGCAGGGGCATTGTGGCTTGCGGTGGCTGCTGCTCCCCAGCCTCCATCCCACCTCAGCAACCAGTTCCTATTCCCCTTGGGTAAACTGAGGCAGGTGGGCCCAGCTCCAATTGGCCAAGGAAGGAAAACTGAGGTCTCCTTGCCTGGGAGAGGCCAGGGAACACTCCACGCTGCCAGGTGGACTGGCCCACGCTGGCAGGTGCATAGACCGGAGGGTAGTGAAGGCCAGGGTTTAGCTGGGTGTGGGGACTTGCGTCTCCCAATGGCATTCATCTGCACCCTTCAGGCCTGGCTGGAAGCTGGGAGCACTCAAGACTTCTGGGTCCTGTGTCTGGGTTCATGGGGAGGAGGGTCGAGTAGGCCAGACCACCTTGGGGTGGCCAGGCCTGACCCCACGCCCCAGAGAACTTCAATGCGGCCTTCTGTTGTGTTCTGGGAACCCTGGGGTCCATTGTCTGGCATCTGCACCAAGCCCCTCCTGCCCTCTGAAAAGCGACCAGAACAGGCTTCCTGATAGCACATGTCTTCCAGGGGAACTGACTTTGACCCTGTACCTTCTGGAGAACAAGTTCCTTGAAAGCTGAATTCTGGGTTCTAGCAGGGAACGACCTGGTTTCTAGAGGAGCCTGACCCCCTAGGAGGCTGCGGGTGGGAAGGTCCCAAAGGGGTTGGGGAGTGTCCGGGAAGGAGAACCACACTTCCTTGAACCCAGGAGGGAGGGGAAAGGCTGTGCTGTGGCTACCTGAAAGGGGAGTCTGGCCTAAGTCGGCACCAGGTCAGTGTGCATAAGTGTCCAGCCTCCCCACAGAGGCTTGCTCCTTCGAATGTGTGAACCTTGGTGGGGTGGGGGCTTGAGTGGCTGCAGAGATGCTGAGGACAGGTGCTGTCCAGTTTTTCTAAGAGCCAGGACAGGCCTGCGCCAGCCATGTCCTGAAGACAGGAAGGCCAGTCTTACCCGTGCTTGTTCTGTGTGTGTGTGCATGCATGCATGTCTGTGTATTATAAAACAAGGAAACAAGAAGTGAACGAGCAAGACGAGACCTTCCTGGCACAGTGACATTGAAGCTGACGTCTGAACAAGCACAAGTCAGCCGTTCCTAAATGGGCACTTAGTAATTCACTACATCATGCAACAGCCACCTCTGTCTATTTCCAGAATATTCCCCATCTCAAAGAGCCCATTCGTGAAACAGGCTTTCCCCAGTCCCTTATAGTCATGAATCTCCTGTCTATATGTATACCTCTTCTGGAAGTTTCACGAAATCAAATCAACAGAATTTAGCAAAAAGCTAAAATAGACGTGACCTAAGTGTATTTTATGTGAATGAGAGCAACACCTAAATGCATCCTGGGTCTCAGGCAAGGGAAGCTGACAACCCAGCAGAGACCGGGATGCCACTTGGTAGGTTGGGTTGTCCTGGCAGGTGGCCACCTGCCTGGAATGAGCCGAGGGCACATGTACTGGTCATGTCGCTGTCCCACTGCTAGCTAAGTGCTTGTGTAGCGGAGTTGGAGCAAGAGGAATCAGCTCGCACATCAGGATGGCAAGCACCAAGGGGCCACTCCACACACCTCCGGCACGCTTCTCAGCTCTCCATCGACTGCGCATTCCTCGGCCCTTCATCTTCATTTGTCCTCGCTCAGCGAGTAGCGCGCCTCGCCAGTGATGGCGTCGATGGGGCCCTTCTCCATCTGCTGCTTGATGGCGCAGTAGAGCAGGAAGAGCGGCTCCCCGGCGCACTCCTGCAGGCAGGGGGCAGGCGCACAGCTCGCGCCCGCCCCGCGGCGCCCCTCCCACGCCGCCCCCCCCCCACGCACCTTCAGGAACTTATGAAGCAGGAACGTGAACCAGTTGGTGAGCATCTTCTCAGCCACCGACTCGGTCCTAGGCCCAGAGGCAGGCGGCCAGGTCAGGGTGGGGAGGGGCCGGCGGCCTCCGGGCGGGGCGGGGCCCGGGCGGGCCAGGGGCAGCGGGCAGAAGACCAGAAGACGCTACCTGCGGAGCAGCAGCTTCGGGTGGTTTTTGCTCTCCAGGTTCTTCTCGATGAGGTCGGCCAGCAGCTGCTTGAGCAGCCCCGTGGCGTAGTCGAGGCGACTCTGCAGGGCCACCATGGTGAGCGAGGCCACGGTGCCGCGGTCGCGCATGGAGAAGCTGCTCTGGGCCTCCAGCGTGTGGATGAAGGTGAGGACGAAGGCTCGGCTGTGCAGCAGCTGCCCGAAGAGGCGCAGGGCCTTCTCGACGTTGGGGGGTGTCTGTGGGGACAGCGAGCCTCAGCGGGTAGGGCTGTGGCCTCGGGGGTGATGGGGCGCAGGCAGGCAGGCAGGCAGGCAGGCCGGCAGGCCGGCAGGCCGGCAGGCCGTGGCTCACGTCCAGCTCCTTGAGCACCGGATGGGCCTCGATGCCTGGGAAGAGCACGCGCACGGCGTAGGTCCGGTAGTCCAGGAAGGGGGTCTGCACCCCGGCCATGTGGTTGGTTAACTCGTTGATGTCCGTCTGCAGCTCAGCAAAGGCTGGGGAGGGCCGGGGATGGACCGTGAGCCGGGCAGGAGGCGTGCGGCCCCCAGCGCCACCCCCCCCAGCTTCACACCACACCCCCGCCCCGGGCACCTTCCTTGCACTCCAGAGCCACCCGGGACTCCAGGTTGTCCATCTGCAGCTGGAGCCGCCTGAGCGTGCGGTCCGCGTCCTGCGTCTTCCGCTTGTACGCCACCAGCACGGCGGTGATGGCCAGCAGCAGGAGCCCGCCCCCCGCCGCCAGCCCCGCCAGGGCCGGCAGCGTCAGGGCCCGCTCCGCCGTGATGTGCAGGGTGCCCAGCCAGAACTCCAGGCCGCCCACCAGCACCTGCGGGGACAGGTGCGTGCGTGACCCCCACACCCGCCCCAAGCGGCATTGGTGCCACCCCGCAGGGGCCCGCTGCAGTGATGCTGGGCATCGAGGTGGATAATTAACAGGAGGAGCACTGATAACGTGCATTACTTAACACAGCTGGGGCCACAGATGCCCCGCCAGAAAGCTGCTGAGGAGTAAGTGGCAGGCAGAGGCCCCAGAGTGGGGCTGGAGCCTCCGGTGCGCCTGCTCTTACTTCCTCAGGAGTGGCCACCGCGCTCTCCACAGTGGCTGCAGCAATGACCCCTTCCCACCCTCCTCCCTGGTTCTTGCCATCACATGACAGCCGTTCTGCACGCCAGGCCATGTCTGGAAGTTTTGACAAGCCAGTCCCTAATAATGAGTGGCAAGCAGGGATTTTTTTTTTGTCTGTGGACTGCCTGTATGTTTCCTTGAGAGAAGTGTCTGTTCAGCTACTTATTTCGTAAGTGGGTGGTCTGTTTTTTTTTTTTTTTTGCTGATGGAATACTATGCAGCCACAAGCAATGATGAAATCCCAGATGTGCACCAACACACATGGTCCTAGAAGGGATTATGCTCAGTGAGCTGAGGGATGAAATGTGTGGTGACAGATGGGCTTTGGGGACAAGCGTAGAGTAGCACATGCAGATGTCGAGAGATACGTGTGTTCACCTGAAACATCTAGGGGCTATAAGCGAATCTTACTTAAAGGAAAACAAAAGGAATAATGATGACAAAAACTCAAGCTAAAGGAAATAGAAAGGCCAGAAGGTGCCCTGGCCGGAGCGGCTAGGCAGGGCATGCAGGCACTGGCAGTACCCTCAAAGCGTCCACGTTTGGGAAAGGAAGAGGTGAACTTACCTCTCTCCACAAATGGCACAATCCTGTATGTCCAATTGTCGGAGACCAGCTCCAACTTTTGAGGTGTCTGGAGGCAACACAGGCAGGACCCTAAGATGGGAAGGCGTCGTCGGCGTGTGGAGATTCCAAGAGGGGGAGAGGAGTGGGTGCGAGGAAGACACGACACGGGGACTTGGAGTTGGGTGCAAATCTTCCTGCTCTGCCTTCAGCAGAGGTTTATTTTATACATTTCCAGCAGGCAGGGGGATGGCGTTAGCATACGAAAGGGGTTAAGATCACAATCACCTTTTTTCTGAGAATGGTCTGGGGTCGCAGGAAGAGGAAATTTCTTGCTAATCAAGTTTGGAAAAGTTCTTTGAAGAAACTCACTAAAAGGTTTTAAGTAAGTTTCCTACTTTGAGGAAACTTGCTAAAAGATTTTAAGTAAGTTTCCTTGAGGTCCAGACAGTAGAAAGTGTAATTTGTTCTAAATAGGAGACATGGGTGAATTTCCTTATCTAAAGACTAGATAGTAGAACCCTGAAAGACTAGCCAGAAAGACTTTTGTGGATTGCTTTGAAATGTAGCAGGTAAAAAACTTGACTAGCTCTAAAACAGGCAACCTGGATGGATTTCCACATCTAAAGCCAGACAGTAGGAAGTTTGAGTAATTCTTTTAGAAGCTGAATAGAAGGCTAGGTGAGATAGCAGAATGGTAAGATTTGGGTTTTCCTCCATCAAGCAGTGAGAGACTTTGCAGAAACAGCCCTTTTGCTTTTATTGATCAGCCAGTTGTCAAGTCACTTTTGACTTCAGAGGGATTTCTCACCCTGGTGCAGTGCTTGCTTGTCAGGGCAGGCAGGCCTTATGCGGCTGAGGCAATCCAATTGTAGGCTGAAGGTTGCTCAGAATATTTTGATATTACGATTATACAAAAAAGGGAGGTCATAACACAAGTTAGCATGGAAAGTCTGATCTTTCAGAGCTTTTCCCGAGCTACCCGGAATCTGTCAGACGATAGCCGTCGCATAGCTTGTGTCATCCAATACTTTTGATACTATTTTCGAAGATTTATTTTTATTGATGATGCATACAAGGTCTGGGGTGCACACCAGAAGTGTGGGGGGAAGGGTGAGAGCATCCTCCAGAGACAGAGCGGGGAGTGAAGCAGGCGGATCCTCTGAAACCCCCTGCTGAAGGGGCAGGGGAACACAGGAGGGGTCTGCTCTGCCTTGGGGTCACCTCTGCAGCGGGGACTGAATTGGTGCTGCAGGGCTGCGGTAGCTTGCTAGTGCTGACCGAATCCCTGCGTTGCCAGGGAGGCCCCCAAATCTTAAGAATTCCTGTGAAACTCCATTAGGGTCGATAAATGAATGCAGTGCGGTTGAGGGGTAAAAGGTCACTATAAAAGAAAAATGTGAAATGAAATTTAGAAACCAATTTCATTTCAGGAGTATTAACCACACATTAGAAATCAACTTAATAAGAGACATGGAGAAGTCGCACACTGGCCACTGCAAAACAGCACTGGAAGAGAATAAAGAAGACATGAGTCAATGGAGAGACACTTGATTCGAATTTCTACTTTTCTGGGAAGCTTCAACTTCTACTCTGTCAAAGATCTAAGTTTTACGTGGAAGAATTGGGGAACAGGCCAGAGGTGCAGGGGGTGAGGGTGAGAGGACCCCCCCAGAGACAGTGGGGAGCAGCACAGGCGGATCCACTGACACCCACTGCTGAGGGGAGCAGCGGGGCACAGGAGGGGATCGGACTCGGGCAGTCACAGTGATTGCCTGAGACTCAACTCCTAGGCCACCAGGGGGCTACTCTTCAGGATTTCAATAACGAATCTTAAAGTCTTAGTGTCGACACACCTTCACGGCAACACTCAGCTGAGCGCTGGGGAGGAGGGTGCAGGCGCAAGCTGGCAAACACCAACTCCAACATGTAGCATGGCAAGTGCACAGATGAAAAGATGGCGACGCTCCCGCGTTCATCTGCAGAAGCTGACGCCAGTGGCCCCCTGGAACAGCAAAGCCCCGGGGGCAAGGCACAGGATTCAGGCCAGAGCTTTCCGGCTTCAGATTTCCAGTGGCAAAGCCGCAGTCGTCAAGATGCTGTGATAGTGGCGTAAGGACAGACGCAAAGACCAAGGGAACAAAGCTGAGAATCCAGAAAGAAGCCCACACAGTGACTGTTGATTGATTGTGAGGAGGCGCCAAAGCCACTTAGGGCAAGACTCTTCTGCACCACGCAGCATCTGATAAGGGAGCCCGCGCGGCCGGCCGAGGCAGAGCCCCTCCGCTCCACAGGCTTTCCTGGGGTATCCCCGAAGCTGTGCAGCAGCCAGCAAACTCAGGAAGGCGCTGGACATGCATTGTCCGGAGGCTTGGCAAGCACTGGCCAGGATGTGGGAAAACCAGACAGGCCGGCCCTGCCGAGGGAAGTGTGAAATGGTGCGGGTCGGAAAACAGCCTGCCCGCTGCCAGCTCGTCAAACTGTCAAATAGGGAGTCACCCCTTGAGCTAGTAGTGAAGGACTGCACTGGTCGGAGGAGAGCAAAACGTGTCTACACAGAGAGGCCCATGCCGCTGGCGCAGGCAGCGAGATTCACTGCCGCCCATGGCAAAGACTGTCGGGCAGGCCAACTGCCGCAATCCCTGAGGCTGGGCGGCCGCGTGCCCCCGGGCCACCCAGCATCCACGCTGGACCAGGGCAGTGGTGTCTAACCGGGATGCGAGTCAGCCGACAAGTGTGGGTGATGAAACTGTTGGACCTCGCCCGCGGGGTGCGCCCACAGCTTCCCGATGGGACTGGCGGCCACTGACTCTCACACCTGAAACCAGTGACTCTGGGGTAATGTCTCGTCTCCACGAGCAGTGTAAAGACTAGGAGAAAGCTGGCAGTCGACAGGACCCGGCCACAGGAGGGGCCGGCCTGCTCGACCAGGTGTGGGTGGTGCCAGCCCGGAGGCCTAGTGCCAGACCGGCCCTCGCTCCCAGTCGCCGCCGCAGGCGCTCAGTCTTGTGGACCGTCGGCCGGAGCCGCGGGCTTTGGGGAGCCGATTGCAGGTGGCCCGGGGCGCGCC